TGATGGGGGGGCTCGGGGCAGACATGGCTGATGTGCAGGGGGGTGGGAGTGGGGGTCGGGGTCGGGATGGAGGGAAGGGGGCATCAGAGGAAGAGAGGTGGGAGGGGGAGGTGGGCGCGGCACGGTCTTCGTTAAGTCGGGATGATCCCGTCACTCCTAAGGCCCCGCTTCAGCTCCAAGTCCTGCAGCTTCTTCCACAGCTCCTCCCGGTCCTTCTCCTTCTTCTTCTCACTGAGAAACACAGACAGCATGGAGGACAAGGTTTTTTAATCTGTGAGCCTGGTTCCAAACATCTGAATCTCTGCACACATCTCTGACTGTTCAGAGATTCAGACAGGTCTGGGTGTTAGAGTCTGCCGCCATGCTAGCAGCTCTCAGACACAGTGGGGCTAATCACAGGGCAGAGCTCAGGCTCATGGATTCTCATCAGTTTTGTGGCTCTGTGACATTCACATGAGGAGGAGCCCTGCTGGCTACACACAGTAACACTCACACATCTTCAGCTGAGAAGAAGAAGTAGACAGGTGTTTGATCAGAATCAGCGCTGGACAAACTGGGACTGGAACGTCCCTGTGAGTCAGCACTCAACACTTAATCTTGATTAGTGAATCTACACTAAACTTAACTGTGGAGTCAAGATGTTCTCTCCAATAAATCCACTGAGCTTTAGCTTCTCTTCCTGTTTCTGGTGCTCAAACACTCCCCACTTGTGTCCGTCCTGCCACTAGTGCTGCTCCTTGCACAGCTAATATTAATCCTGATGTTTAAGTTTGATGACGGTGACTGTGTGTGAACTATGATTCCCAAACCCTCTGTCCGTGCTAGTGATGATGTGAAGAGTCTCTTACCGCTGGCGGTCCGACTTGTAAGTGGCTGTGAGTTCATCAAATAAGGTACTGTTCATCTCCATGAAGGCCTTCAGTACGTTGTACACCAGCGCCACGATGGCCCTGAGAGGAGTGAGTGCACAGAGAGAGCACAGCTGATGATGACACGTTCACCCGTGTTACAGCTTCTATCATTAATCAACAGTCCACGGTTGCAGAACGTGTGGACAAATCCGTTTCCTGGGCTGAAAAAGCAACTTTCAAAGTATCAACTGAACTGATACTTTGGGGTTCATGGAACTCGTGCAGGGAAAAGTCGATTCTATATGTTTCAAGCTGCACAAACACCAGCCAGTCAGAGCAACAAGCCCGATGTTATCCTGCACTTTGCGCAGCTCCCCACTTCTTGCGCCAGCTCAGGAAGTTCAAGCTGCCCCAGGAGCTGCTGATCCAGTTCTACAGAGGAATCTTCGAGTCTGTTCTCTGCACCTCCATCACTGTCTGGTTTGACTCAGCAACAGGACAAGTACAGACTCCAGGACTGCAGGAAGAACCATCGGTGCCAGCCTGCCCTCCATGGAGGACCTGTACACTGCACGGGTCAAAAAGAGGGTGGAGAGGATCACTGCTGACCCCTCACACCCTGCACACAAACTGTTTGAACTCCTCCCCTCTGGAGGGCGCTACAGGTCACTGTACGCCAAGACAAACAGGGACAGGGACAGTTTCTTCCCTGGGGTGTCGCTCTGATCAACACTTAACCCATGACTGTGTAACAGAACGACAACCCTTAGAAATATGCTCTTGTGTCTAAATCTATTTGACAGCTGCATCATCTAAACTGTGTGTGTGTGTATATATATATATATTTATGAGTACTTTATTTGTATTTTCCTAACGCACATTTTCTTTTTCTCTCACTTGTTTCTTTGTCTACTCGTTGCCTTATAGAAGAACACTGTACATCCACACAGAGCCGCTGCACTGGAGTCAGATTCCTCTGTGTCCAACACACCCAGCCAGTGAAGCTGACTCTGATTCTCTAGGGTGGAGCTGCAGCACAATTATACTTTGTGTATTTAAACCTGTTTTTTCCCTGTTTCACCATCTCACACATTATCCTGTCATTCCTATTAGTACAAAACCTGTGAACATGGAGGTGCATCTAGTAACCAGTGTCCCTGGTCATTTAGTGTCTTAGGAAACAGATTTGTAAAAATATACGTGTCCCTGCTTGTTTCCAGTCTCTACACAAAGGCCAGTCAATTGTACTGGGGAAGTTTTAACTGTCACCACAACAGAGATTTGTTTCTGCTCTGACGAGACACTGTTCACTGCTGTTTACAGTAAACAGAGCCCTTCTGTGGCCAGAGCAGCTCAGTGTGTACTTTACAGTGGGGGAAAAACGGGGAGAAACCGAGGAGCTGCTGGTGTTTCTGTACATCAATGAATCCAAAAAGAGGGCGCCCTGTGTGTGTCACTCACGGGTTCCAGTGCTCTTTGGAGATCCTGTAGAGGCTGGTAAACATGATGGGCAGGATGACGCTGGAATTCTCCTCAATCAAACTCATGATGTACTCGTTGTTCCAGTAGTACAGAGCTCGCTCTGCCACCTGGACAACAGAAACACAAACTGCGCTGAGGGTCCACACTGAAGTAATAGCTGGAAAAATTCAGGGTCACTTGTACTTTTTTTTATCTCTAGTGTTGCCAAATATGTTCAAAATACTATTGAAATGGCTGAAGTGTTCTCATTAAGCCAAACCATGTTACAAATACATTCTGTCCATGCTGGTTTCAGAACTTCATTACAGTTCAGTACTGCTGACACTGCGTCCGTCTGACAGCACCTGAGCTCTGGGGTTCGTCACTGACCTGGAAATGTGGGCTGGAGACACATCTGGAGATCTGTTTGAAGAGCGGCTCCTGGATCTTGACGAACTGTGTGGGCTCGATGACGTCCAGGATCTCCTCCAGCTCCCCTAGAAACATCACCTGGACCCGGAGCAGGAAGAAAACGTTACCTCACACACACACAGTTTGATCACACACTGTCTGTGCACAGAGAAACAACAGCCTCACCTCTTTTTGACTGCAGGTTTTTGGCCAGAACTTCAGTAATCCTCTGATGACCTGAGGAGGAACAGGAAGAGAAGGAGTGAGTTCACACCCACTGCTGCTTCTGGCATGTTGTTTCTACTAGTGACCGTGCTGCTAAAAGTTCCAGAGCTGTGGTGAAGCTGCAGGAATTTCTTCTACAAATTTACTCAGCCTTTGATTTAACTTCAGGCCGGTAGTTTAACTGAACCTGTCTAATCTCTGGTGCAGTCACTCAGTCAGTGCCCTCAGTTCTAACGTGGTCTCCAAAAGTCCACAGCTGGTGACCAAAATGCATAGGGCATGAAACTCACACAAATGCACTGTAAAAGGATGATACTATAACAAGCAGAGTAGCAACTGACAATTAACTTATCAATCTGCCAATCATTTCTCAAATGTACAATCATGACTCATCAATCCTTATAGTGAGATGTGTGTACTGTAAATATTCGATATTGTTGCTTAAAAATGACTCAGATGACAATTTAATTATCAAAGTAGCAGCAGATTAACTTTTTTAATGCACTTATCATTGCAGACCTAATAAGGACTGTTCATACATCGTCCCTGTGACTTGAGTGTCTTGACTCTGCCTCTGGGTGGCACAGCGGTTAGCGCCGTCGCCTCACAGCAAGAAGGTTCCGGGTTGAAGCCCCGGCCAACCCGGGGCCTTTCTGTGTGGAGTCTGCATGTTCTCCCTGTGACTGGAGACTCTAAATCGCCCGTAGGAGTGAGTGTGAGTGGTTGTTTGTCTACATGTCAGCCCTGTGATAGACTGGCAACCTGTCCAGGGTGGACCCCGCTTCTCGCCCAGTGTCAGCTGGGATTGGCTTAATAATGATAATAAAAATAAACAAAACACATTTTAAACACATATATACAAACGCACGATGCGTCACAGCTGCATCTCCACTGTGGTGGATGTGGAACAATAAATGTGTACCAATACTCACTGGTTCTGTTAATGTTGGGTCTTTCTCTAGGAACTGTACAATGCAATACGCCAACTGCAGGGGGAGAAGAAACCACCGGTTAGAACTGATGATTGGGGTTTGGCAGCATGTTATCAAATGTGAAACCTTTCAGATGTCTAACCGAATCTCATTGTGTACTTGTCACAGTACAACAAGAACTGATGCCAAATCCTGCACCTGTTTTTATGGGTCGGGCAGAAACCACGAGCCCACGTCTTTGGTTTCTTGATTTTAAAATCTTACACACCTACACATCTTTAAATAGTGTGGAGGTTTAAACCTTTATGCTGCAGTTCATGATCACTTGCAACTGTACATTTAACTTTGTAATTCCAGGGAGGCCACAGGTAACAAAGGGTTAACAGTTCTCAGAAATTTCAAATCTATAAACATTTAGAAATAATGGAGTATTTTCAGCCCATGTAGGAGAAATACAGGGACGGTTACCAGGAAGGAACGTGGCACACACACACACACACACTATATATGAACATACAGTGCCTTCCAAAAGTTTTCATACCCCTTGAACTGTTCCACATTTTATCATGTTACAACCACAAACCTAAATGTATTTTATTAGGATTTTATGTGATGGACCAACACAAAGTATTGCATAATTGTGAAGTGGAAGGAAGATGATACATGGTGTTCAAGATTTTTTACAAATAAAAACCTGAAAAGTATGACGTGCATGTGTTCAGCCCCCTTGAGTCAATACTTTGACGAAACACCTTTCACTGCAATTACAGCTGCAAGTCTTTTGGGGTATGTCTCTACCAGCTTTGCACGTCTAAAGACTGCAGTTTTTGCCCATTGTTCTTTGCAAAGTAGCCCCAGTTCAGTCAGATTGGATGGAGAGCGTCTGTGAACAGTAATTTTCAAGTCTTGCCACAGATTCCCAACAGTATATAGGTCTGGACTTTGACTGGGCCATTCTAACACATGAACATGCTTTGATCTAAACCATTCCATTGTAGCTCTGGCTGTATGTTTAGGGTCGTTGTCCTGCTGGAAGGTGAACCTCCGCCCCTGTCCCAAGTCTTTTGCAGCCTCTAACAGGTTTTCTTGCCCTGTTTTTAGCTCCATCCATCTTCCCATCAACTCTGACCAGCTTCCCTGTCCCTGCTAAAGAAAAGCATCCCCACAGCATGATGCTGCCACCACCATGTTTCACTGTGGGGATGGTGTGTTCAGGTTGATGTGCAGTGTTAAGTTTCCACCACACATAATGTTTTGCATGTAGACCAAAAAGTTCAATTTTGGTCTCATCTGACCAGAGCACCTTCTTCCATGTTTGCTGTGTCCCCTACGTGGCTTGTGGCAAACTGCAGACGGGACTTCTTATTGCTATATACTGAGACTGAGTTACACACAGGTGGACTCTATTTACTAATTAGGTGACTTCTGAAGGCAGTTGGTCGCACTGCATTTTATTTAGGGATATGAGAGTAAAGGGGGCTGAACACACATGCACGCCACACTTTTCAGATTTTTATTTGTAAAAAATCTTAAACACTACATATCATTTTCCTTCCACTTCACAATTATGTGATTCTTTGTGTTGGTCTATCACATAAAATCCCAATAAAATACATTTAGGTTTGTGGTTGTAACATGATAAAATGTGGAAAAATTCAAGGGGTATGAAGACTTTTGGAAGGCTCTGTGTATTTTATTACCTGCGCGTGGAAAAGGGACAGACTCCTGACAGTGTGGAGGGGGATCAACACTTTGACCAGAAACTGTTTGTGTTCAGCTTTCAGTGGCAGAGCAAAACCGTTGATTATACTGGAGGAGACAGTTGGGAGGACACAAAGAAAACAAAGAAAAAACACAAATTAAACATGAAAGCACTTCACTGAGAGTCTCTGAAACAAGTGGAAGATGGATGGACAGCCAACAAAGGGCGACGAGCCTGGTAGAGAATAGAAAGATATAACTGATGATCAGGCTCAAACAGAACGGACGGCATTGTTTACACGCTTCAAACGATTTCCATCGTTCGACCTCCTGGGGGGCCCCGACCCTCAGGTTGAGAAACTGCCTGGCATTCCATTTACATCAGTATGAGGATTCTCATGTGTGCTGCTCTTGGGTTATACTCACCAAAAAATGTTTCCTCCTTTTTAAGCTAATTAGTTCTTGTTAACTAGCACAGACCATCCAACACATTTGTCTTTGCACGTGACACACCTGTATGAGTTTGAACTTGTTAGGTTACACATCGACTGTTCAGCTGAGAGGATTAATTCACTGGTCTACAGATCAAACTCTGCGCCTGATTCTTCCCTGAACATCTGTTTATATGGAGCCGGTTTCACCATTTCTTATCCATCTTTCCTGCTCTCAGGTCTCAGTGGCTCTGACTACAAGCATCAGCTACCAGAGCAGAGTGTGACCGTCTGTGTGTGATGGGCAGAGGCCTCCACATACCTCCCCAGGATCTCCAGCAACTCGGCCACCCCGTTGAAGTGCTCCGTCTCATAAACAAAACTGCAGAGCAAACAGACAAAAGACAGGAGGCGAGAAAAAGGTTAAGCAACCAACACTAATGAGTAAAGCTGGGACAATCGGATGTGTACATGAGGGGCGGAACAACAAAAGCAACACTAGGAAACGATTTCCCTCCACTCCACAGATATCAGTGTCAAATTCCGACCTCCTTGTCAGAGTCAGCTACTACTGTGGGGTTTGTCAATAAGGATGCCAGACTTCTCAGCCTCTGGAGCCCCGTTCAGACATGCACTTTGTTATAGGCAGGTGTGAATAAGTGCACAAGTCAGTTTTATTTCAAAGTCAGGTCAACCATCTTTTACTAGGCTGGACCTGTCACTTCTCTACTACATGATACAAAACTGAATTAAACGCTGTTAGCTGCCATGCTTTTTAAGAACAGGATTAAATGAAACACTTAATTTAACCCTTAATGACTTTTCACATAAAAACCTGTTTGATAAAAAATAAATTTAACACTGATGGAGATTCTTCTCATGTCAGATGATCATACACTGTGACCCTGAGTCGCCATGTTTTCATTTTCCAGACTTGACAACTAAAACACTTCGCATACAGAACATGAGCTAGTCCAAACTTGACATCATCTCATTCTCTGTTTGTGCACTGTCAGATATAAAAAAAACTGTCAGGATTAGATGAATGGGAACATGTACTTAGTGGAGTTCCTGTGTGTCCCAGGAGATAAAACTGCTCATTAACTGAACATTCATGTGGAGATTTCCTGTCAGAACTGGCCACAGGTGCAACCTGAGAGACAAGTGACTGCTCTCCTTTTCTCCTGTCATGTCAGGATGAAGCAGTGAGGAAAACCGACTGTCTCTGAACAAGTTGTAATATTCTGATGGCCCAGAAACAATGAGTTTGTTTTGTTTTGTTTTGTTACCAGCTTGATTTTGCTAATGTAAAAAAGTTTCTATCGATGGAAAGGTCCCAGAAAAGTGTGAGGGAAAGCACAGAATCATCTCTACGAACTTTTCATTCAGCTCAAACTTAAAGTCATGGTCATGAGAATCACCTGTTTCGACTTCTATAACCTGAAAATGAAAGGAGTAAAAAGGCTCCATCAGCTATGATGTGGTACAAACTGAAACTTGAAGAGCAGGTGTCTACTCACCGTAGAAAAATATTATTGATCTGTTTTCGTATAAAAGCCCTCAGCCCCAGGAATTTGCCGTAGATTCTATGCAAGACTGTCTTCAGGTAGTCCCTCTCCCGAGGATCCTCACTATCGAACAACTCCAAGAGCTGGATGGAGGGAAGAAACACAGAGATGAGAGAAGAAACAAAAGGAGTTAGCAAGAAAATAAAAAGGGGAAAAACTACTGAGACAAACGAGACAGCCAGTAGAAAAACAGGGGAAAGAATAAATGAAAGAACAAACAAGAAGCTGAGCTTTGCCTGCAGACTGACTCACCTGTAGGACAAACTTCTGGTCTATGTACTTTTTGGCAATGCTGGGCTGGAATTCCTGACTCTCCAAGAACCGGATGAAGAACTCGTATACCAACTGGAGAGAAGGAGAGGAGGAGAAGGGACAAGGGAGGAGCAGAGGGAGAGGGAGGTGAGTTTAAGTTTGTGCTGAACCTGAACTGCTGAGTGCTGTGCAGGAAGACCAGTGTCTGTGTGTTCAGGTTTAAATTCACTGAGCAAAAACTATGGTTAACTTTGGACACAAACCCGAGTCAGTGTTCCTGAGGTACAACAACAAGCTGGAAAAATCTGAAGACTGATGTGCTCCTCTTAGAAATGAGAGCCCTTAAACTAACCCATAAACACTGGGACTGGACTGGATTAAAGGGAACAGTTAAGGGGTCAAAGGTCACAAAAGGCAAAGCGTAAAGTAGGTAGAGCAGGGTAAAGGAAAATGTCTGGTTCAGTCAGGATTTCAATGATAACGGGAGTCTGAATGGACAAAAACCTTGTTTATGACTTGGGACAAAAACAAGAAAAAGGATTTACCAGGAAGCTTGTCCTTGAGATTTGCATCTCATTTCTAAAGGAATCCTGGGCAGCAGGTGCACAGAGGAGGAGGAGGAGGAGGAGGGGAGGTGAGGTGAGGTGAGAGGCCAGACAGCCTGGCTCTAGACCCGAAACAAAAACCCACCCAACCGCCAGGTGTCAAATACAACCGCAAAGCACTGATGGCATTGATGCGTCTTCAAAGAATGGTGTCGCATTTTGCAAAATACACTTGTTCACTGGTTTCTGAGAATAAGATTAGGAAAACCCAGACCACTTCTCCTGCCTGGAAGAACGGGACACAGCCCGACTCTGGAGCTCACCGCTTAACATGGCATATCTTGTTTGTTTAATACATACACAAACAGAAACAGCTTGGGGGGACTACAAGGTCAAATCAGCTGTGTGTGCAGCATCACTGCAAATGTCACACAACTCAGTGCTTTCCCCTGCTATGGCTTCAACAGGGTGACATCCTGGTGGAGAGCACTGCAAAGGAGCTGAGCCAGTTCACACTGGTGTGTACCTCACTGTGTGCATCCTCACCATTAGACAACGCCACGGTAAATACACAACATATTAATCAACACACACATTTTCAGCAGCATTCACCTGTAAGTGAGGCCAGGAGGCCTCGAGAGTGGGCTCGTCCTCCTCAGGGTCAAACTCATTACTGTCACTGGGCGGAAGGGTCCGGAATATGTTGTGAGACACCTGGAAGACAACACAAAGGGGACACCTGAACAACTGGCTATGGACATGTGTGCAAGCTTAAATCCTTAAATTCTGACCAGGGGTTAAATGGTGCTGGAACAAGCCGGATGCAGACCCTCTCAAACTGGGAGGAGCACCTATTTTGACAGACCTGAAAACTCATTTACATATGATAGAAAGTGATTATATGAATAATGTATAAAAGTCCAAGGTCTAATACTTTTTGTACAACTAGACTCTTACAATAGCATGTTAGACTAAACTTAGAATAATTAAATACAATATAAACAGGCATTTAGGCTGATTACGTCACAAAATAACAAGCCCGTGCAGGTCACACTGGGTCAGGTGCACATTCACTGTCACGCTATGTTAGCCACGAAGCAAAAATCATCCACTACAAGCAGACAACCCCTGCCGTTATCATGGGGGACAACGCCAGATGTAATGCGCATTATCTAACTGTGCTGTTGTGTTAGGTCTGAGAAGATCAGAGGTTCACACCTGTAGCTCAAATTGACAGTTGTAATGAGAAGCTACTCAACGCTCACAGTCAAAACAGCCGAAAAACACTGCATTAAGAATAATTTCCATGTCAGTATCCATACATCGGGTATCACTCTGGCTTCAGTATCTCCAGCGTGTGAGTCCAGTGCGTACTGAATGTGTGTTTGTCCCACCACCTCACCATTTTGACGACCTCGGGGTAGGCCTGTTCTGTCAGGTAGCCCCGGCTGACGGTCACGTAGTCCACCAGCTCATTGAGTGTGGAGCGCTTGTACTCCTTCATCTTGAGGTCTGACAGTGTGTCCATGAAGTCAAAGATAGTACAGCACTGCTGTAGCTTCTTCAGGAACAGCTCCGGCTGCTCCGACGCTGGTACGTCTGGACGCACAATTCATACACACACACACACACACACGAACACAGCACACAAACAGAGGGGAAGAGAAAGAGACAAGTCTGTTAAACTGGTGCAGAAATAAAGGTGAACCTTCCATAGAGGTCAGAACTGCAACACCAAGGCTTAAATAAGACAGTGAAATTTAAAATGCACGGGGCGTCCTGGTGAGACTGTGGCCTGAAGGGCACCGCACACAGGTGGCCTGTGACGTACGTCAAAACAATCACACCCATTTTCTCCAAAGAAAGCCCACAGACTGAGGAAGAACAGCCGAGTGTCAACGCTTCAGGATACGCCACCGTCCTATTGTCCCAGTGTCGATGTTCATCAAAAGGATAAAATACTTCATTTATCAAGTCTTTGAAATGAATTGAAAGTTAAATCAATAATAAAAATGATCAATTCTAGAAAAAAAAAGCTATGTATAAACAAGTGTTTGTCTCCAGTGGCAAGTTAGAGAAACTGGAAAAGAAGTGTACTGAAGAACAGATGCAGGAGAAACTCTGTCCATGTCCAGCAGTAACAAATAGGTTTGTTTTGAAGAGCAGCCGTTTGTCTTGAGCAGTAATTTGACATCAGTTCTTTTGTTCTGTTGTCAACTCTGCTGCAAAAACGTCTGCCTGTTTGGTATAAACACAAGATAAACAGGGTGGTTTGTTTAAGCTAGGAGTCACCTGAGCTCAAGAAATCTAACCTTCAAAAGTATGTGTTCAGCAGTAGCACGATTAGTGAGTTTGTCACGAAAACACAGGATGCTAATACCGCAAGCATCAGGCAGGGGAAATGTTTCCTGCTCTGCATTAGCTTTCACCTTTTCATCTTCCCTGCAGACCTGCTCTGTACATGGAGGATCAGTGCCACAGCCTCATTACCTAGCTGTGGCAGAGGCTGAGCTGTCACCAACCACATAGAGAAGCAGGCAGAGCAAGGAGACGTCTTTACTCTGATCCCACGGTGACAGACAAGGCAGAGGGTCACACAGAGTTCGGACCTGCACAAAGATGAACATCATCCCCGATCACTGAAACACAGACCTCATGTCGCCGTCCCTGCAGGACGGGGGCCACGATGTAGGAGAGAAGGCAGTGCACTCTTAAAACTGTGTGTGAGACTATGCTGTACAGTTACACTCCAAAGCAGTCGTTTGCACTTTGTCACAGACAACAATGAAAATAACTGTTAGCTGCAGGCCTGAAGACTTCATGGTTCATTGTGTCTGGTCAAACTAAGAAAACCATGACACAAAGGAATGAAGTTGAGTGTATTACTTGTATAAGTGAAACATGCTTTTCCCCTTAAATCCAACTTTCACAGACACATAGGGACCCAGTGTCAGTATGAATGGCTACCATCCCCTTCCTGAGGCTCTGACTATTCAAAGTGCAGCTTCCTGTCCTGGGAAACAGACCTCATCAATCGCATTTAGTGTGATTATACTGAACATGTTTCAATCCAAGTACCACTGGTTACTTACGACCTGCTGGCCTCCTGTGTCAAACCAGATCAATGAGGCTGTGTCACAAACAAACCCAAACCCTGACTGAGTGCCAGGAGTCCTGAGAAAACGAAACAGGTGCCTACAAGTGAACCATCACAACGCAGACAAGAATCCAGAATTAGTTTGGTTCTATTGCTTACAACATTACTGATCTGGTTCACTGGCAGCAGTGAAATGACTTAATACACATCAAACCAAGCGCTCAAACCTGGCCCAGTGTGTGAGATGAAAAAACTACTTCCATTAGATGACTGTGCACAGCTGAGTGGTGCATGGAAAGTGGCTGTTATGCCCGCTTTACAAACGATTGTCTCTCTCAGACTAAGTTTCTGGGCCAAACCTTCAGTGTGGCCATTTGAAACAGCTGCACACAATTCTGCCTTTAGACATGATCAGACAATGTGCTCGTTTGTCCGAAGCAAACTAATACCTCGGACCACACAGAAGCTCAGATAAGCTGCTGTTCGTCAACACTTTTCAAACCACGGCACTGTCCATACAGGAACACTAAAACAATGGCTCCCACATTTTAGGAGCCATTTGTTGTTTACAGAGAGAGAATGAAGGGGGGCGGTGTCCTTGTAGCCGAGCGGCCAGGGATTTTCTTTCACCAGGTTTATAACTTCAGCACCGCCGGAAATCAAATAAAATAAGGCATGTCAATAAACAAGACGAAAGCACAGCAGCACTCATTTTAAAGAACTGATCTAGTCACAATAGACCATCTGTGAAAATTAAACAGCAGGGTTTTCAAACCGGTGTTTGCCTGGACCACGTTACGCTGCAAGTGCACGTTTCTACATGTGTGTCTGTGCAATCTTGCCTGTGAATGAATTTGCATTAGGGGTGGGCGAGATGGCTATAAGATATCATCAGTCCTCCACAGGCTGTGCTGCACTATGGCACACCCATGACATACAGTGCACGAAGCTGTGAAATGTGGCCAAAAGAGGTGTGTGTGTGGTTTCATCAAGATTCAAATACTTGATCAAACGCCATGTGCAGTGAAATGCAATGTAGCATGGCTGTGCTAAAAAGGCCAGGGTGTAATAAAGTATTAGAAGTACAATAAGAGTAAAAACAAGAATTAGAAAGATAAAGAACAAACATTCAAATGTGAAAACAAACACATGTAACATAAGTGTTAAAATATCAAGCAGCCTGGTGTGTGTGGGTTGTGCCATCTGTCAGTGCATAAAAATATAAACTATACATATGCCACAGACATACTGTACTCTACTACAGAATAAAATTTCATAAACACTCCAGTCAAAGTATGTGAATAGCGAAGGTGGTGCAGTGTCTTCACACAGGGCTGAATAAGGCTGAAGACATTCTGAGGTCAGGTCACCATCCTGCTGGCCAGGGGGAAATATTTCCTCTCAGTCTCTCTGAGTCGTGGCTGTAGTGTCAAAGCACTGAAATATTGATATCTGGAATAATATCTTAAATATAAAACATCCACACAGCTCCTCTCTTTGCAGCGTAGATGATGTGTTTTGTGTGTACACTTGCTGTGGGTGTCTACAGTGTGTGCAGGTCCTTGTGTCTTTCGCTCAGTACAGTTGTATACAGTACACTATACTTCATTACAATAATTACTGGCTGCAGGATTCGGGGTCAGCTTGGGTCACAGGAGCCCGGGGCTGCTGGATGCTGCAGCTCTACCACTATAGGAGCATGTGAACGGCCTTAAAGGAAGTTATTAATAGACGATAATCACACAGGACACAGTAATCCTCCTGAGAGAGACAGAGAGCACAGCTAACTGTCTCGGAGCAGAGCGAGAGAGTATGACTGTGTGAGAGGAGCAGAGAGAGAGGGGCTCTGTACTGCTGTGTGCATGAAGTGTGTGTTGGACTTTAACTAAAGTGTGTGAGAGAATGTGTGACTGCAGCCTAGAAAAACCCAGAAACTACCTGTCAAACACATCCGCAAAGAAGGCTCCTGGAGTACACACACGGCCCCAGCCAGGCCCATACATCAGCACAAAGAGCAGGCCACGGTGAGATACTGTCAGCTTTGGAGCCTCTAACACCACAGATCAAACCTCTGCATCCTGCATAAAGGGGGATAAAGTTAAACCAGTGAACCAGTCACCAAGACCGTTAACCCTTTGACACATGATCATTAACAGGTCTGCAGCCAACAATGATTTGTACTTTTGTCCTTTTTTTGCCTATAAAATGTAAAAAGAATTCTAATGACCAAGTCCCAGAGCTAAAGGTGACGTCTTACAATGAGCTGGTTTGTTCATCAGATATTAAATTTACTATAACATCAAACTAGAGCAAACCAGAAATTTATATCATAAGTTTACCAGCTCTGTATTTCATTTTGGTTACTTACTAAATTGATTTCAATGTAGACAGACCTCTTTACTGATGCAGCTAGCTGATTGACAAATACTTAATCAGCAATGGTTTGTCTAGGAACCAAACATCTCTGGGTTATAGACACAATCTGAAGAGATCACCTTGGACTCTGAAATATGTGATGGACCTTTTTTTTTGCTTATTTCCAACATTTTCTTTTCATAAAATGACTTAATATCAAAACAGTTTTTTTCCTCTCAACACAATCATTGATGAATGTTTTCAGCAGCAACTATTGAACAGGAAAAAAATCTGTTTATTTCAGTAAACACATGCTATGAGTGTGTTACTACACACAGGATGTCAAGTATGTGTTACCTTAGCAGGACTCAAACATGTCACCTTGACAGTTTGAGCACTGACAGTGCAAATGCTTGTAAGAAGCTCAGTCCGATCAGAAGTCTCCCTCCTCCTCCACTATAGTCCACCACACTGCAGCTACTATGTCCTCTTCAGATGCTCTTAACATGCACACCGTGGACAACAGGATACCTTAAACTAGTTAAACAATCCAATTTTTGCACATATTTATGACCAGGTTGGCATTTGGTCTCAGTCTCAGCTGTGCAACCCAATGTGAATCCACCTATAAAGCTATGCAACAGTGAGCTGGTGTTACTGCTGCTTCATCACGGTTATACCAGGAATGAAGCATAAAAGCAGAAAGTGCTAACAGTTGTCAAGGCTACCAGCTTCTTCCAAATCACACAAAACTTGTGTGGCTGCACAAGCGAATTCAATGTGCCAAGTGAAGGGACAAACACCAACTGGCCAGGCCAACACTAGAGCACTAAAAGTTAACATGTAAGACCAACTAGAATGACCTCTTTACAACCCCTGAGCCTAATCGCTTTCTCAGGCTATGTGAACCTGCTACTTATATGTGAAATCTTAAGCATGATAAATTCTGTCTCTATTTAAAGCCACTAAAATGAACAAACTGATCAGATAAATTTGTCATCAGACCTAAACTGAAGCTCCTTCATGTCTAAAAGTAGCCATATTACTTTTACCATCCATCTTTATCCTTTTTTTGAAACTAGCAGCCACTGTGGTCAGTAGATGAACATAATGGTTGAAGTGAGTCTTTGGCAGTTGCTGAGTCAGT